TAACTGTTGTTAAACTTTTGCTAATGGTGTTGTCACTCATCCATTCTTATAAAATGCATTGCAGCTTAACATTCAAGGTCACTGCGCCCGTATCTAAGAAATCTTTGAAACTTTTTGTTGCAAGGCCCCGAAATTTACCAGTTGCCTCGGCGAGGTTTTGTGGTTAATTAAACTTCCATCGCTCCTGTATTTTTTCTAGTTGCCTGTGTAATCAAGATTAATGCTCTTGAGGTCTTTCCTATGTGCTAAATCAACAATTTGTCCCAGGTAGAAAAAAGAAACAAAAACGTTCCCCGCCCGATAGCCGAGGCATTCCAGACGTCTTGAATAGAACCGTTCTATTAAAGCTTAATTTTTGATTGATTTGGGATAGCAGTCTCTTATTAAAAACCTAAAAGGGTATTCATAAGGGAATAACGTTATCCTTTTATAGGCTTTCAATTTGTTTTTTTAAAATAATTGCCTTTAAAAAAGTCTTTTATTTAAGTCGTCACCTTTTATCATTCATTACTATTACTAAAAGCTTTTGTGATATAACTCTAGAAGTGACTCCTCTCTCATTTACTGCTCGTCGCTTCTGAGGGGCAATTTTTCAGAAGAACTTCTTTGATAATAACTTCCTTTTTAGTTGCGTTGCTTTCTGATAAATTAAACATGCATGTTCAAATAATTGCAAACTAAAAGCCTTGTATATAAATTTGTTATTTACAGCACATTATCACGTCGCACGAGTTACGCAAAAGTCATTTATTTCCACGATTAATTACCTATTTGAACATGCGTCGCAAACTTTTAAGAAATTGTTAAAGGCGAATCAGTACTTGAAACCTGTGCAAAAACGCCATTTTTCTGACCGTTTTCACTTTGGTAAACCTGCTTTAATTCAACATGTCTCTTGATGCGTATGAACAACCTTTGGTAGTTTGTATTTTTGAGCTTTTTGACGGTCTTTGTAATATACAATTTTAAGTTAATACTTCTTTGGCTTGATTTGTTTTTCACTTTAGCTGTGTTCATCAATAAATTTTTCCGAATGACTCGGATCTTTTCTATTTATGTACTCTCAACTATTAGCTAGCTCATTGTGGTCATTAGGAGACTGGGAGAGGCGGGAGGGGGGGGGATCTGTGCACAGGCTAGTTCCGATACTACTTCAAGGTCTTGGGGGCGGAGCAGACGGCTGGGGCCTTTGCTCCCATGGATAGGATTGTCCCGGAGGGGGATATTGCGGAACTTCAACAATTCCTGGGTAGGGTGGTGATGAGTCGGGTGAACCTGGGTACGCTGGTGGTGGTCCTGATGGTATTTTTTGAAGTGACACAGAGTTCATCGATGGACTGAGGTTTACTGAATGTTGCCCTGTTGCCTGAGGGGATAGAGGTGAAGTTTGTGTCCCATAGGATGCAGTAGTGATTGCTCTTGTGGCAGCAAGACTGGTATCTCTTGAATTATTTCTCGTTTCCATTGCGGTAACATGACCGGTATCTCCTGCATTAGCTCTAGTCAACGGCGTGGTCAATTGGTTACTTAACGCACGGGCCTTTCTCCGTCTAACGAAGCAGACAATGGAGGTAACGAGTGCAATTAGCATCACTACGCCAACACTCACGCCGATTGCCATCTTCCTTGTCTTACCTGTCGAAAGCAAAATGATAACAATTCATGGAATTTGTCAGAGAGGGTGCAGCCTGGGGGAGGGGGTACTGTAAAGTTGAAGGGTAGTTTGAATGGTGTTACGTATGACTGCAATCACAAAATAACGTAATGTAAAAGATTGAAAAGAAACTAAGCAATACCCTTTTCTTCATATATGGTAGTCTACAACTACGCGACCGGTTCGCATAAAGTGTCAGTGAGAAGGTTCATCCCTTCCTTTCTCCATTTATAATTTTGTTATAGCACACGATGAAGATTTTGAAAACTTTTTCGTATCTCTTCAAGAATGTGTTTCGTAAATAGAAGAGAGTAGCGCCTCCGATAACAGCGATAACCCATCTTTAAATCTTCACTGTGTGCTCTAACAAAATCCTAATTAAGTAACAAGACGACAAGCAACAGTCTCAACACCTCCGCCATTATGGGCAATTCACCATTTTCACATAGACCATAATGCACCTTGTTTACGCCCCAAAAGTTTGCATAACCATTGTCTTCGATTTCTCTAGGGACGACTGTAACACCCAGGAAAAATTAGAAACAATGGTTATGCAGAATTTTGGGGGGTAAACAAGGTGCATTATGGTCTATGTTAAAATGGTGAATCACATATTATAGGCAAATGTTATTTCTGACGAATGAGCCCGCGAAGAAGGCAGAAAAAAATATTTTGACAGCACGAGATACAACAGTGCCCCTGTACTAGGCCAGCTGCACCATGGTTTGTTATACCGGGGGTATATAAGGCTGTGTATATCGCGTGTACGTCATCTAGGCTTCTGAACCAGCCTTCCTTTGGTTATTGTCAATTTTTTGTTTTATTTTAGGAGCAGTCTATTCTCGAATACATTGTAAGGTCCCGTAGGAAGGGCTTCGAGCTTGAACCTTGGTCCCTACCCAGATTTCCTGCCCGCACTTTTTCCCTTCAGGATTTTTTTCAGGTTTTTTCTGGCCCCCGTCTGACCGCATTTGTTCCCGTTGTAAGCGGTAGCTCAGCTCTGCTAGTTTTCAGCATTTCCGCGTCTCTTACCCTATGTACTCGTACGGTTATCACAGTTGTGCACCTGTTCCTTCACTGACTTAATATATTTATGATGGATGTATATGAAATAAATCATTGATTTTTAATGTATTTAGTTTCTATTTATGCTTATGTCAGCTGTCCCTGAACCAATTGGCCTACGTGCCTTGTTGGGTACATTAGTGAACGATTCTCAGTTTTTTCCCTGTGCTCAGCCTCTGTGGTCCTACAGTGTACCCTGTCCCAGTTACTCGTTGATCCGGGTTTTAATTAGTTTCCCAGCCTAACTGGGGGCTTAACTGGCCTGCGTGCTTAATCGGAGGATTCAGGTCGAGATCGACCAATTGTAGCAGTTCTTTCTTTTGTGAAAGCTAGTTTACGATTGTTGTACATTAGTTATTTACCTACTGCTGTATTAGTTTACATATATGAACTTTGCAGGGTTGCTTCTTGCCAAGCCGTCCCAAAATAAAATTATTTGCCTTTATATCTTGTCTGTTGTGTAATGGCGCCAAAAGAGACTGTTGACCAGTACTGACTCCAATAAAAAAAAAATGTATTCTCGATCGGTGACGAAATTCTGGATCGTTTTAACAAATTCTCCATCGATGAAGAAATTCTCCATCGATAAAAAATCATCACTCCCAAATGAAAAATGTTCGATCGACAAAAATTTCTCAAACGATAAAAAATTCTCGACCTCCAAAGGAATTCCCATCAGATAACTCTAATTCCTCGCTGGCTTAATCTAAATTTCCTTTCCCTTGATCAACATTTCCCTGAAATTTACCCTGATAATTTGAATTCTGGTTCTTGTAACTCCTGTAGGATGCCATCCCATTAAACCTTTTAGTTGAAAAATATGTAAAAACACGAAAAAGAACACTATACAGCAATTAAGTTTAACTGGTGTAACAAAGTTTTATCATAAAAATGCAAAATCATGTTACCGTTTCTGAATTGCATTGTACTATACAGCTGATGTAATTAAAAGTCTACTCAGTAACTATCAATTAACTTGGCAAACTAAAATATTCAATAAATCTGGTAGCTCGAACTCCGCTAACTCGAATTGTTTTTCGTTTCCCTTCAGCATTCGAGTTATCAGGTTTATAACTGCATTTCAGACTGTTTAATCAATCTACCTACCGTTTGATGGATCCACAACTTTGAAAGTAGCCTCAAAACCGCTGTGTTTAATCCCCGTGGCCTTGGCGTTTGATGAAAAAATCACCGTCAAACTCCCATTAGTCGAGATAATGGCATCTGGCAATTTGTGATATTTGTCCTTGGCTTTATACAAGAAACCACAGTATTTTTTTCTAACCATTGTGTAGTTCCTCTCCACCCACTGCACCTCCACATAGTCTTCACATTCGTAAGACAGGCATATATGTTTGGCGTGGTCCCAGTCAGTACAGCTTCTAGCAGTATCTATTCTCTTAAAGGTGAGCTCTACTGGCTTTTCCCCTGGTACTTTGATGGACCATCTACAATACAAGTTAGGTGGGTAGTACTTCATAGGGCTCTTTAGCGTTCCTTGATCTCCGGTCAACAGCAGTTGAGGGTTGAGTTTGTTTCCAGGTAAACAAGTCTCCCTCATGTAAAGCGCTGAAAAGGAAAACAAAATTCATCATTGCTAGGTAAGTATAAACCGCATTCAAGATGATAAGAGTGTTAGTTCCATTCAAAGGTACCCCAAGCTCACGAATGAGAATCGTTGGTACGTAACAGAAGTATTTTGAGAGTCTGTATTGAGATTAAAGCCATCGTAATTTAGGGGGTCAAAAATAGTAATAAAGATACATCAGAATATCTTACCTTGTGTCCTTGTCTAAATTTACGGAGATTTCTGACCTTTTCTTAGCATTTGAGGCCGTTTTAGGGCGATTCCAGCGGGCCCTGAAGGCCAAAAATGCTAAGAAAACACCATAAATTTAGACAAGGAGACGAGGTAAGAAATTCTGATCATGATGTATTTTTATTACAACTTTTGACCCCCTGTTACGCAACAACAATTCAAACTCTCGTGAGCTTGGGATACCTGTGGTTCCATTTCGTCGCGGGAGGACTACAGTGGTAGAACGCTTGATCAGTGAAGAGCGGACTCCGGAGTTCGTTTACCGGGACCGGATCAATACTCGGGGTCTACTAAAAATAACTGAGAAATGCAAAAAGCCAGACCTTCGCGTGGCTCGGACATAAAAATAGTGTCCTCAATAGACCTTTTTTATGGCTCCCAATTCAGACCACGTGATATTCTACAGGGAATTTGCCTTCTGTCTTTAATTTTGGATAAATAGGACTAAAAGCCCGTGGGGGG